CCCCATCCATATTACTTTTCAACTTTTTACACTCCAATTGATAGCCTACAATTTATATCATTAAGCCAACCCGGCTCGAGAGGGGTATACAACACAACATAATTAAAAAACAAAACAGAAATAAAACCTCTTTACATTGGAATTGTCTTCAGCGCACAATGGTGAGGGGCCTAACCACTACACCACAAACACCGATATATTTATTATTGGAACGAATTGAACATCCCGAGCTTTCATTTCGCAGAATGTTTTTGCACCAGATTGCACTTCTGACATTACCCGATTTCCAATAATACTGAATCGGTGGGGGGATCAGAAGTCTTGAAATTGTTTCAAACAGGCTAAGTTCACTGCATGAGGACTGGAACCTGGGTCATCCCACCCATAGCTGAGCATTGTAGCCGCAGAGCAAACAGCCCACTCTAGGATGGTGTAAAGCTATTATACACAAAACACCGCACTGACTCAGGGGACTTTAAATACAATCTACAATCAAGGTGATCAATTTACAAGTCATAGACTTGTATAATATCCTAAACTGTGCACTTTGGCGTACCTCACGTTCACCAAGGATTGCACCATTTTGCTACCTCAGAATTACAAAGTTCTTTCTAATTATTATTATTATTATTATTTTTTTTTTTTTGTTTGTTTGTTGTTGACCGTTTTGAGTTACTAAGACCATGAGGTCCGAAAGCAAATGTTCTATCTGCTTTATCAAAATCGTGAAAATAATTGGAGTCATTGTCAAGATATTCAAAGATAAGCATTCGAAAAAAGCTTGAGGTGTAAAACTAAAACATTTTGTCGTCAAATTTCTCAAAACTAGGTATTGAGCAGATAGAACTTTGTAATTCTGAGGGGCAAGAGGGGAAGGTTGCGCACGCACTCGACTATGATGAGGCTGGTGTTTGGCCCTTATTTGCGTAACCAGCTCATTGAAGTTTTTATAGGGAGTAAAGAGTGGCAACTTTGACAGTGCCCAGTCTAGAATAATACAGTAGAACATGACTACAGCGGGACCTTATTGGTCGGGATCCCTTTTTTAAAATGTAAGCTCAATTACTTATACTTGGATTTGCGAAGCTGGGAAAGGCCTGAACTCAAATACAGCGGGAGGGATCGAGCGAGCTCTAGCTGCG